GCATTCATTTAAGTATATTTTTCTAGACAACAATTTCAGGTAGTCCTCAAGTTACAATGGTAATTGGGACCAGAATTTCCATCACTAAGCGATGCTGTCATAAATGTGACGTCATGTGACCATATCACTTAGCAATGGCAATCCTGGCAGTCCCCGTTGTCTTTGTTAACCAAATCCCACTAGTCGTTAGGCAAGGAGCCATCCTGATTCAAGCCATTTCTGGCTTGATCCCTCCCAGCCCCAAGCCTCAGTAAGGTAAGGGACTGCTTCCTCTTGAACTACCCCCACCTGCCTGTCCCCTCATCTCTGCCCTTTTGACTGTCCTGCACAGTGGCACTCCTCGGCAGTGATGGGGTTGGGGCTGAAGTAGAGGCCCGGGGCCTTCAACAGTCTCAGCTGGCCACCACCATGCCTGGGCCTCTACTTCTGCCCCAGCACCCCCACTGCCACAGAGTAGTGCCTCAAGCCCCATGCCATGGCAAGCCACCCCAGTGCCACAGTGCAAAGCCCCAGCTGCCTTGCACTCTGCAGGCCTTGCCATGCCCAGATGACCTTTGCAGTCTTCCTCCTGATGTTGATAAGGTGTGCCCAGTGTGGCCCTATGCAAGGCAACTGCTGACCATGCCAGGCCTTCTTCCTGAGGCCGCTCGTGCCATTCTCCAAATAATGTGCACTGTTCTTGTGATGCTTTGGAAAGCCTTCGGAAAGCTTCTGAGGCCTTCCAAAGCATTGTGAGAACAGTGTGTGCAATTTGGAGAACAGCAGGTGCAGCCTTGGGAAGAAGGCCTGGTATGGCCAGCAACTGCCTCATGTAGGGCCATGCCAGGCACACCTTGTCAGCAGTGGGAGGAAAACCATGAAGGTCAGCTGGGTGTGGCAGGGCCTGCGGAGCACAGGGCAGTGGGAGCGGCTGGGGATTTGTGCTATGGAGTTGGGGTGGCTGGCTGCAGCATGGGGCTTGAGGTGGCATTCCTTGGTGGCGGCAGCGCTGGGGCTGAAATAGAGGCCCGAGGGCAGCAGTGGCAGACTGAGACTATTGAAAGCCCTAAGCATCTAATTTAGCCCCAGTGCCACCGCTAGGGACTGCTGCTGTGCAGGGTGGCCAAAAGGAGAAATGGGGGGGATAGGCAGATGAGGGGGTTTGAAGCACCCCTGCAGTCGTAAATGCAGGCAGGCTACCAAGCACCTAAATTTTGATCATGTGGCCTCTGGGGCACTGCAATGGTCATATCTTCGGGGACCAAGTATAAGTACCGTTCGTTCAGCACCACCATAACTTTGGTTGCTGAATGAATGTTCATTAAGTGAGGACTACCTGTAGTATATTTAGTTTTTGTAATCCTTGATTAAAGTACTTTACATAATCTACCACATCTAATCATTTTTAGTATGACTCAAAGGCAAAAAGATATTTAGGAGCACTTGGAGATGCTCACATAGCACTTGCCTGCAATTCCTTAAAGCCACTACCTTTTTTGGGGGGGGTGGCAGGTAACACAGCCACTCTTCATAGCTGCAGTACAATACCAGAAAAAGACAGGGTTTTTTTTAAGGAGCTGTAGACAAATGCTACCTTTGTGAACCCAAGTCCTCTGAAAGACCTTTTGCCTTTGGATCTCAAGTTCTGCATACCTCTGTATCTATATTTATATTGCTCAGAAGGGAGAAACGATCCATATCTTCTCTATACAAGTTCAAGAATACTTGATAAATGAAAACTAAATTCAGGATCCAAGCACAAGACAAACCATGTAAAGCAGAGAGGAGGTTCAAAAATACTTTTACTATAATGAGGACTCATCTAGTATTCAGCTGAAAAAAATTAGAAGTCCACTGAGCTAGCACAGAGCTTGTTGTTAAGTTAAGCAGCTCTTTGGATTGGAATTGATGTCTTAACTTTCCAGGAATGAGAACTTGTAAGCAAAGCTGCTTTTTTTCCTCTTGAGATACAAAGGTAATGTTCTTGGTTGACCAGCACAAATGTTGTAATTTGTTTCATAACCAAAAAAGGATGTATTTCAACCTGCAATTTTGCCTAGGGTTGTAGGCTCTGACTTGCTGTGTTTGACACAATGATGGGTTGTGCTTTGAAAGGGTGATCATTTGCACAATGGGATTTCCCTTCCCCTCTTTTTCCTGCAGGCCTCCATTGTCTCCCCCAGATCTCTGACACACAGGGAAAGGAATTGCTGTGTTCTCTTGGAGACCATTCCTGTATACAACTATTCTTAGCTGAGAAGTTGCTTGTCCAGAGCAATATAAATTGCTTAAGGTCTTGTTAGTCAATTTTTAGTGTTCCCCAAATTTAGTGTTTATAACATTCTTATATGTTATAAAATGCTCATTGGGGTGTTTAATTACTATAAATTAATCTACTGTTTTCAGTTTTTCCCAAGCTATTTGTAATTCCTTTCATAAATCCTTGTAATATTACATTAGTACTGCCATTGACAGAGTTTGGGATCATTTAAGATGGAGTTTAGACAAAGCTTTCTTAAGGTCAGTATGGTCATTAAAAATATTGCTGTTACAACTTCTTTGTCTAATCTTTTCTAAGTAATAAATTTGTCGAGTGTGTGTTTGATCTCAAGTATACTTCTGCTTCTTATTGTAGAGTGTTTGAATAAGTTTCTTTTATTGATTTGTCCTCTTAATAAAGCCATAGAGCCATTTTTTTATTATCTCTTGGGCTAATGAAAACATGCTTGCCTTCGTCTTTCCAGTGTAGACATTCTTATTCTTGCTGCTTTTTAAAGAAAATAATCATTCTTTCATTCCCCCTCTTCTGGGGAGGAAAATATTTTATTGGTTGCCAAAGCCTCATAATAGTGCTGCAATTTAAAGCAAATAATATTTGAACTCTCTCAGTGTTAGAACAATGGATGGTTATGCTGAGAAGGAGAGAGATAAGAACTTTTTGCCTTTACAGCCACTTCTTTACATGGGTTGTGCTGTGTAAATGTCAATATCATGTACATATTCCATGAAATAATATATGAGAGAAGAAAATGTTGGCTGGATGCGTGAGAGAGGTGTGGGCCTTTTCCAAAGTAGTCCTATACTTACAAAATATCTTACATATGGGATTAATCAGACTCTGTCTCTACCATCTCTACCATTTATTTATCCAAGCCTTTTCTGTACTTTGTTGTTATTTTTCCCAGAGGTCTCCTTGGAGCTGGGAAGCATTTTGGAGAAGTGTTCTAATCTTTGTAGTGAGTTGACCTTAATGTAACTTGTATTACCTGCCAATTTGTATTGCGTGCCAGCAGATGGCAGTACCTCACCAATTGTGTCAGATCTTAGAAGCTAAACAGTGTTGGCTGTGTTTGGTTGGGGGACCACTTGAAGCCTCAGACTATAGATTAAACATCCTGGAAGAAGGCAATGGCAAACAACATTCATGCTATTGTAAATAAAACTGTATGTATGACATTGCCAGGAGTTGAGCATAACTTGAAGGAGATGTCACCTTTTTAGTGATTGTGACTTAGCAGCTCAATATGAGCAATCCTGCTTTTTTCTGAACCAGTTCTGCCTCCAAGAAAGCACCATTGTCCTATGAGACTTTTGTTAGCAAGGCAGGACAAAACACTCCCGGTCAGGGGTTTCCTGGAAGAAAGCAGCAGCAAACAACACTCCACCCCCACCCCCATTGATTCGTGCATGTATAAAATTGAAGGATTTTGTTGTGTAGCCTAGAAATGTTTTAAATAAGCAAAATGAATAGTACAATCAATTTTTTTAAATGATTTATTAGATTATTGTTATTGTTTTGATGAGAAATATGCTGGTATTGCACTAGAGGGCAGTATACCACTACTAATATGCTGTGCAGTGTCTGAAAATTCAGGTCTCTAACTTTCAGTTTCGCCCTCATAAGAAGTAGAGCAACCTTCTCTAGTATCTTTTATATAAAATTAATTCTATTGTTTGCATGCTACTGATAAGAATGAGTTTATTTGTAGAAGTATGATTTATTGACATATCTTATTTGGCTGTTTGTCAGCTTTTTGAGATGGTAATAAAAAAAATCCATGGTAAAAAAATCACAATAATGATTATGCCCTAGCCATGTTATTATAATAAATTAGTATGTCATAATATAACAAACATATCTGTAACCAATCCATCTAACACCATCATTATTAGTAAGATGATACATGATACTGGAGTTCAAAGAGCTTTCTTTCATGTTTAAAACTGGCATTTCATTTCTGTTTCTGTGAAATATTGGGAAAAATCTCGGTAGAATAACCTCCTCTAGCTTGGGTACCCACCAGATGTGTAGGCTTTAAGTCCCAGAATTCTCTACATGGCCTTGCTGGTGGGGAATTCTGAGAACTGAAATCCATACTAGGGAAAAGCAGCAATGGGACAAGTTGATGATCACAACTACATTTTCCATTTGAGCATATCTTCAGAGTATTATTGAAAACTACATCATAGAGTTATATGATGTTATTACTATTATTTCTTTATTGTTTTTCATTTGGTTGTTTCTTGTTTTAATCCTGTATTCACCTCCCAAAGTTGCATTTGCAAGATGGGCAGCTATGCAAATTGATATCATCATCACCTGGTCTGCAAAAGTCCACATGACTGCTAGATGGAAGCTAAGAGTTACTGTTTTCTGTATCTCTTTGTTGTGATGTAGTTGTTATTCAGAGGTTTGTAGGCCAAATACAGTAGTCTGGTATGTTGTTATGCCAAATGGTTCTAATTACATAGTATAGGCTGGATTGGGTTGGGTTGGGTTGGGTTGGGTTGACAGGTTGGAATAGAATGCTTGAATGGACCTGCTTAAGCGATGAACTTTCCTCTGATTAAGTAATTAGTTGCTACTTTATTATTAGCACTACCTTAGCACTACCTTAATTCAGTATATTTGGGTTTTTTTATTGATGAAATTAACAGCTTTTTGTTGTGATATGTACTTGAGTAAGAAATGGCAATTTTCTGTATTCCATAGGTAGAAAGAGTCTTTATTTTCTCTGTAGGCACCACCTTCCATGGTCAATAATGAACAACGTCAGCACGCTGAACACATATTTTTATCGTTTAGAAAATCAAAATCGCCATTTGCAGTTTGCAAACATATTTTAGGTAAGTCCTATGTTTCAGTCAGTGTACCATTAATTCATAATAATATAACTTTCTAAAACAGGCTAAGGATATATGTGTAAAATGCTGTTCTTCCTACCAGTGTAGATATGGATTTATAGGTTCAGATATTAAGCACTGTTAACTTGAAAGTAAGCCTCATTGATCTTAGTGAGTCTTGGTTTTATATAAATATAGTTAAGTTTGATTCAGATATACAAACATGACTGATCCCAGAAATTGAGGTCTAAGGCATCCTTACATCATAGTAAGAGCTATGCCACTTAATTTATGCCCCTCTGCAGAAACTACAGTGATTTAAAGTATTTCTGGCTTTCTTTTCCATGAATTGTATTCAGAATGAGTTGCAGTATTTAGAAGGTCATAACAAAACCAAACTGAAGAAATAATATGTGTTTAAGAAATTAATGTTAATAAATGCTTAATAACACATCCAGACAAGGTCCAACAGAATACAGGTAGTCCTCAGTTAACGACTATCTTGTTCAGTGACCATTCAAACTTACGATAGCGCTGAAAAAGTAGATTTATGACTGGTCCTTGAACTTAGGCTGTTGCAACGTCCCCATGGTCACATGATCACAATTTGGGCACTTTGCAACTGGTGCTCATTTATGATGATCGCAGCGTTCTGCAGACATAAGATTACCATTTGTGACCCTCACAGCTGGCTTCTGACAAGTAAAGTCAATTGGAAAGCCAGCAGGAAGTCGCAAGTTGCAGTCACATAATGTTGCGCTTAATGGCCGTGGATGATTCACTTAACAATTGCAGCAGAATTGACATTGTTAAGTCAGGCACTGTCATATGATGTTTTTTACTTAACAACTGCTTCACTTAGCGATGGAGTTGCCAGATCCAACTGCAGTCGTTAAGTGAGGACTACCTGTAAAGCAGTTATTTTTTGGCATTTTAATTGCAGTAGTGTTGTTGCCAAATGGAAATCTCTGGGGAGGGTGTTACAAAGAGGCATCCAGAAATAGTAATAATAGAAAAACGTTATGGGGAGATTGGTAAAGGCAGTGGTGTACATGCTTCTCAAGAAAAGCTTATGCACTGTTGGAATAGAATCTTTTGATTTCAGACTGCTGTTTTCTGTTTTCTTGCTGGATGCAGGAGTTGAACACAACATCATCATCCCAGTCCCTTTTAGGGATTGTAAATAATATAAATTATAATTGTGGCTACTGATAGTTTTAACCTTTCTTTACTTGTTGGATCAAATGCACTGAATTGGAAGATAGCAAAATATTGCAGAATGATTGTAGCCACTGGATTTTCATTGGGAGAATTGTCTCTGAAAGTGCCTGCTTTTTGCATTAATGTGTGGACCATTCCCATAGCCTTTAAAAATTGCTTTGGGTTTAACACTTATTTATGCCTGATATTTATTTGTCGCTAATTTTAACTTGTTGATGCTAGTGCTTCAGTAACTTGTTATTTCTGCTGTTGATTTATATATTTTTATATTGTTTTAGTCTGCTGCAAAATATATTTAGGTATGTTTGAATGTTGTAGAGTACAGATTTATGATTGCTGTGAACTCTTTAGAGAGAGGTAGTCCTAAAATCCAGCCTATAATTTCAGACATAAATAAAAATAAACTTTAAAAGCTATTTTTCATTTGGAGATTTACAAGATATGTTTTCCAAGCTTTTGCCTGTGGATTATGAGTTTATAATTTTGCATTTCTTTAACAGAAACTAGTAAAGTGGACTATGTCCTTTTTCAAGCTGCCACAGCGATAATGGAAGCAGTTGTACGAGAATGGATTCTGTTGGAAAAAAGCAGTATAGAGTCACTACGAACATTCCTTTTAACATATGTCTTACAAAGGCCAAAGTAAGTACAAAGCATTTGTTTAAAACATTTATACAGATTCTTAAATAAGAACTTTAAAAATTATATGCTTTCCTGTTGAGATAAATAAAATCCACATAATGAATTGGATTCTGTTTTCATGGCCAAAGAAAACATAATTCACTGGTAGTGATTATGTGCTGCAAATACAGAAGATAGTTTCCATCCCTGAGATTTCCAGTTAAAAACATGATGCAAAACGTAATGGGAAGACAATCCATGATGATTCCAGAAACAATACTAATTGGAACACAGAACACTTGGTCTACTTGATATAAAAGAACTTCTTATGTTCACATACGCTAGTAATTGGTGATGGTAGTGGTTGTTTGGAACCTCTGAGATTCTTTCTTCAAGTTGGTGTATTAGGAGGGATGTTTCACTCTTGGTAGGGCCACTTCTAAAAGCAACCAGGTAGTCATACCCTCGTGGAGGTTCTGCTTATTGGGCTTTTGCTGTTCAGTGATTCCTCTGCCCTGTGTAAGCCCGTCCATTACCTTATATCTGTTTGAACAGTGAGGAATGTTGCATGAAAGAAGAGATTGCTCAAAAGAAAGTTGAAGCACTATCCAGTATACATACAGTTTCAGTGCTCCAGAGAGGCTTTGACTGATGCACAAAGGACAGCTTAAAGAGTGGGAAGGAAAAAAATGAGAAAGATTCTCGCATTTAAGTAAGATTGTGGCCTTAGTCACATGGGATTAGTGCACATAATCATGTGATAAAACATGGGATTAGTGCACATGATTAACTAACATCTGCCTGTCTGTCTCATAGGTGTTCTAATAGGCTTCTCAGAGCCTGAGAAAGAGGATGTCAATTTGCAAAATATTATAAGTACAGAACATTTGCATGCTCTTCCTTTATCAGGAAAACAGGTAGCCACCTCCCCAGCATATCAACAGATAGTTAGCATAAGGATCAAGAAAGCTCTGTCTTAACAAACTTTAAAAATAAATTGGGTACTAAAGTAAATATATCCAGTTGGTAGATTTCTATAACCTAATTCCATTTTTCATTTCAACAAATGTGATTAATCTTCCAGGATAATGTTTGTTAATCATTTTAATATAATTTAGAAAATGAGGAACCTATTGCTGACTATAAACTGTCCTTTCAGCTATAACTGCTCTGAATAAAAAGCTTAAAACAATTCAGTAAGTCTAAGAGTACATTTGAAAATCAACAGGCAAAATAGCTAATATCAGGGCTGAATCTAATGCTTGATCCAAATAAACGGATGTTACATTTCTAGAATCTAATTCAGCCAGATAAAACAGTTTGTTGTAAACAGCTATGAGATTTCCATAGTCACTGTATAACAATTTAATAAATAAAAGTTAGCAATTGTGCTGTGTATAGGAACTGTGCAATTACGTAGGCAGAAAAAACAGAAGTTGCTGCAGGATATGAACTGTATCTGGCTCAAAGGCTAGATTCTCCCCATCCCCACAACTGCCTCACATGCCCAGAGGCCAGGTGACATTTTGGTTGGTAAATGTCAGTCTGACATTCGTCCATTGCCTCTCTCCCTGACATTCTCCAGCCTCTTTGCAGAGGAGAAAGAACGAGCCAGTTGCTTCCCCCCACCTTTTACATATGTAGTAAGGGACTACTTTCTCTGTGTTCATGGGGAATTATCCCCAGCCTGTGGGTCAGGAGAAGAATCTGTGCCTGAGGATGTCAGAAGATAGGGCTTTCCCCTTTCCACAAGCTCTGCCTGCATTTGCCTCCACACAGAGAAAATTAAATGCTGGGACAGTGTGGACACTGAAGACTAAATTAAAAGGCTGGCAGGCCACATCCCATCCACATGCCAGAGGTTCCCTACTCCTGGCTTATAAGAAAAATATGTAAATTGTATTTAATTATCCTGACAACACAAGAAAATCGAACTCAAAGCAGTAGCAGACATAAGAATTTTACAGATAAGTAGCCCAGTCGCTCCTGCTTTCTAAAAGCAGTACAACTAAGGGTTTTTTTGCTTTGTAAACAATAGTGTGGTCATCTGGGTCAGTGCTGAATATATTTTTATTGTTACTTTGCAGCCTCCAGAAATATGTGCGGGAACAGATATTGTTAGCAGTAGCAGTAATAGTGAAACGAGGGTCTTTAGACAAGTCAATTGAATGCAAGAGCATTTTTCATGAAGTCAGCCAGTTGATAAGCAGCGGCAATCCCACAGTGGTAAGTTCTCATGTTTAAAAACATACATCTTCCTTTGCAAACTTTGGTATTTGGACATTTTTCCATCATTATACTAATAATTTACTTTCAGGAATAATTTAAACCCTCTCCCTCCATCCTTGTGTCTTCCAACTCTGCTGGAATTGCTATGTCCATTGAGCATTCTCAGGGTTGTAATCAGGGCTGTGGAGTAAGAGTCGGAAGCAATTCTTGGGTTACTGAAGTTGGAGTTGGTAAAAATGTACTGACTCCAACTTCTAATAAATTTAAATTGTATATAATATAAAGAATATGTCAATATTCCTATTTCATAGATAATAATTTAGATTAACCTATTAATCTATAACTAGATAAAAAATAGATTAACCTATTTTTTTCAGGTTATATTTTAATTTCAAGTTCTCTGCAGATTTCAAAATATATATTTTGATAAAAATGTAACCTCATTGTTTTTATTTTTTAGCTTTTATCCTTTGTTTAAACTATAAAGTTACTGAATGTTTATAATTTCTTTAATGAGTAAAATTTAAAAAAAACAATGTCTTTGATAAAAATATAACCTCATTGTTTTTATTTTTTTAGCTTTTATCCTTTGCTTAAACTATAAGATTACTGAATGTTTGTAATTTCTTTAATAAATAAAATTTAAAAAACAATGTGTTAACTATAGCCTTTAGACCCAATTAACAGGTTAGGGTTCTAAAATGTTGCCTGCTGATTCACATTGGCAGTGATGAAATGCCCTGTATGTTGCGTGCTTGCAGTTGATATAGGAAATATATAATTAGTATATTTATAATTTATTTCTTATATCGATATATAATTGTCAGAGTCGGAAATACCATGAATAAAGGAGTTGGAGTTGAAGGTTTTATGTGCTGACTCCACAGCCCTGGTTGTAATCACAACATAGTTGGAAGTAAGGAGCTGAAGAAAAATGCATTAATTCAAAGAAATTCCCCATTCTGCTACATGAGTAGGTCAGACTTAAGCTGCTCAAAGGAAAAAGTTTGCCATTAAAAGGAAAAATGGGGAGGCAGCTGCACAATATATTTAGCGATTGCAGTATAGCAATAAATTACATTCTATTACGCTGGCATCAATGGCATCGGTATGCTTGGATTCAGTTTTGACACTTAATTACAACATAAATTATTTTTGACTCTCATATATTTTTGACTCCCCAGTCAAATTATTAAGTGTAGATGTTGAGGTTGAGCACTGAACTGCCATATTTGAAATGCCACCACTTTTTGTATCAGAATGGGTTTTCCAATAGTTATTAGAGATTTCCTTGTATTTGGTTTGGTTTACATCTGTTCCTTGCTGTGTTCTGTCTGTGAGTCAGCTGTTGGAATTGCCTTGAGGAAAGACCTCTTCCATTCCCCAGGGAAGTGGTGTGGTTGGGTAGAAGGGGTGTGTGTCGACACAGAACTGAAGATGGCAATACAAAATTTACTCGTGTTACATTTTTAGAATCTGATGAGGAAATATCCTCCACCCTCTCACGAAGCTCTAAATAGAAATCCAGCACCTTATTTCCACATGCGCCATTAGTTCCAATTCCATATGCTGTGCCAGAAAATGAGATTCAAAATGTTCCGCTCTGGAAATGAGTTATCTGTACTGCTTGTTGAAATCTTTGGTAGCTAAAATGGAATGACCTGAGAGAGCTTATCTGCAATAAAATGAAACCAATGCTATGTATATAGCAGCAAAAAGCTCTAAGAATAAAACAATACATGTCACAATGCTACAAAACATACAAATATTTACAAATCCATTTGCGTGAAGTGATGACAACTTCAACCTTATTCTAATAAAGTCTGAGTTGAATATTTGTCAGCAGTTTGATTAGTTTAAACTTTCCCCAACTTCGTGACTGTCAGTATACTGTAACTCCCATTGGAGGACTAGGGCAAGATTGGAATTCATACTTACGCTGTTTCTCCTCCCCTCTTTTTCCCATCTGGCCAAAGGAAACAAGTAGCTTTCAGGTTATTCAACTCCAAGTCTGGCTCATGCTCCCATGTGAGTTTCCATGTGTCCATTCTCCTTTTGGTCAGCAAAGCTCAGTTCTTCCTGTTCCAATTTTCCTTCCTTATCCATCCTTCAGTGATCCTGGTCACAGTCATTTTATCACTGTTTCCACAGATTTTTTTGCAACTCATTTGGTCATGCTCAAGAACACATTTTTAAAAAATCAATTTTTGGACTAGTCCAATATTATGATTATTTGTAATTATTGGACTAGTGCAGGCCTCTCTTCTAACAATGTTTTAATTGTTCCAAGTTTCAGGGTCTAGCTCCAAAGCTTGGCAATCATTTTGTGTATGCATATACAGGAGGATATATTCCTTCTCCCAGGCATAACTCCCAGGCAAAAATAATTCTGTTGAATGAAATAACTAGAATTCTTTTTATGGGGATTCATAGAGCAGTAACCCAAATACTTGAGATACCTTGTAGCCTTCCTGTGAAGGAAAGAAAATCTGTCAGCCTGCATGTCCTGAAGTTACATAGGACATCCCCCCTGCATAATGGTTACAACTGAAAAAAAGTAAGATGAAAATTTTTAGTGCTGAATGAATTTTATCATGCCAGATATTTTTTCTCCCCAAGATTTATTTCATTTTTCGAGAGCATGGATAGGTTGGGTGCCTGTACTGGAAGAAGAGAAAGAATCAATTTCCTGAGAGATACTGTTGAACTGACTTGGTAGCAGAGGGAAGACTCAATTGAACAAGTCCCAGATTTATATTTTGCAAGTACTAGAGGTGGGAGGATTTATCAAAAACAGACACCTATCAAAAACCTATGGCATAAAGCCAGGATGAAAAATTCTCTGGTTATTGATTTAGGAATGAAAGGTGAATCTTATCACTCATGAAGTGATCAGTCTTCATAATAAATGTCCTTTTCAACAATTAGAAGGCACTTCTCAGTTCCATACTACATTATAACCTGGTTATATACTCTGGTTATTATTTCACAAAGATTTATATTATTGCCAAGTATGGGATATCTCTATTGTACATTTACCTTTACACACCAACTTTTTCTTCTGTGAACTCCAGATGAGATACATAGTTCCTTCCTTCCCATTTTATCCTCAAAATTCTGTACGGCTAACGATTACCCAGTAAGCTCTTGCGTCTCAGTAGAATTGGTCTCTTCTGCCATAGTGTGATGCCACTCTCTTTCTTACAGTTGAAGTTGTTTGATTTACTGTTTTAATGTGCAACGTTTGTTTGAGTTGAATTTGATAGTTCTAAGGCCTGATGCAGACTGCCTGTTGATGATCCCTCAGCAGGAGACTTATATGTACAACTGAATGGTTGATTATGTGCCATCAAATTGTTTTTGACTGTTAGCAACCACATAGATTTTCTCCATGACAATCTACTTATATCTACAGCTGGTGGTATTTAGTAAATAGTAACTTACATTTAGAAAAAATATAAAAAAACATTTTAGTTACTCACTGAGGCAAAGGAAGAATGACGCTCACACAGTGTGATTTTATCTTAGGGAACTAATCCCCATACCTTTTGCATCTTTTCCCAGTGTGGCCAACATTGGTCTCTGATGGACAGAGCTTCTGCTAAAAAGCCAATTACTAATTTTAGTCTGCTTAATTCATGTTTTCCACCACTGATTCCAAGATGCTGAGGATATGTATATGAGATAGACTCCACTTAACCACAAATGCCTGCAGCTCATTGGTGCTGGACCTCAGTACAGAATTCTCTTTCTGCTTCGGCTATTTGAAGGATTCCCCTTTCTGAGACCTGGAGTGCAGCTTCATCATTCTTTGTGTGTGTGTGTGTGTGTGTGGCTGTGTGAACTTTCAGCTGCCTATGGAGCTGCCTCATATCAATATATAAAAATAGTCTGTTCAACAACTTGTCAAGTGTTGCTTCTAATATGTTCACTGAGTTTAATGTATGCCTGGAACGGGGTAAACATGTTCACCGTGAGCTATGAAAAATAACAGAATTGGCTGATGAAATTAGCTGTTTGTCAAAAGCAGCATGAAATAAAAAATGAATCATACTTCCACCTCACTCTCCGCAGACAACAAAACCAAATCCAAAAGAGATCTAAGAAGACACTGATAAGTCACCATCCCTAGTTTTATGTTTGACACCACTAGCTTAAGTCTTTGCACTGTTATCTTTTTTGTATGTTTTAGGATTGGACGTGCAGAATTAATTTCTGGCTGTAATATAAAACAAAACCTGAAAAAAATTTAAAAAATAAAAAGGTAAAAAAGATTAAAGTGATTGCAGAAGATCAGGATTTCTTCAGATCTATCAAAGACTGTTAAATCATTTGCGTGCCATAAGAAGGAGCAATCCAAATGTCCATTATGCTAATTACATTTAATATAATATAAATCACCTTTAAAGGTCCGGAATAGATTGGCTGTATAAGTGTTATACTAAACTGGTTTCCCAAGTCCAGTATATCACATTTTAAAATTCAGTATAGAATATTGTTTGTAGGAAAAGATGATAAGACTGCAGCCTCTGTTTTTATATTTGAAAGCAGCTTAGAAAATGGGAATAACATTATACTGTACATTGAAGATTTTTCTTGAAAATTTGAGTAGTCAAGAGTGTGCTAACTTGGCTAGCCGTGGTTAGCCATATTTAAACACAGATGCTTTATTATCAGTTTTTCCTCAGGGGAAAAAAAGGTGATTTCTGTAGACAGTCTCTCCTGTGCCTGATCTGTTCCCCTCCCCTCACATTGGGGATTGGAGAGGAAGGGATTACAAGACAGTAAACAGGGACACAGTGGGGAATACGCCAGGCTGTTTGTGTAGTGCGCTCATAGCTCCCAGCCCCTTGGGGCTGCTGGTGCCACTGCATTGCTTTCAATGTGTAAAGCCCAGAGTCACTTTGTTGAAGTGGGCGGCTATATAAATATGATAAATAAATAAATAAACCCTAACTCTGATTTACTTTATCAGATTACTTATTTTTTGAACACTGCTCTGGGCTCCTTTCTGAACCAAATATTATGTAATTGCACAATAAGTATAAGTGCTTGGCTCCCCACCTTTGAATGTGTTGGTATGAGAACCAGTGGCCTCATGTTTGCTTCAGTTATCCTCTCCCTCTCATTTTGGGATAGGTTGTGGTGACTCCTAGGATGAGTTTTTATTCTGGTTTCTGATACCATAAATTTTCTTGCATGAAACCATTGGGGATTCAGTAAATCATGATTAAGTCAATCATGGCTTAGTGATAAGTGCTTTTTACTTTCCAATGTATCCTTTTTTAAAAATAATTTTTATTAATGTATTATTTCTTATTAATCCATTTTTGAACAAACATACATAAAATAAAAATGAACAGTTCACCACACATGAAGAAAAAAGGACAAAAAATAATAAATGAAAAGATAAAAAAGAAAAATCTGTAATTACCAATACGTTCCAAGTTCATATGATGTTATAACTCTAAAGGGAAAACTAAGCTTTCGGTGTTCACCAAGCCTCTCCAAGATTTTTTTTTCCAAAGGGAGAGATAATGTGACATTTTCTGATTGACAATATATAATTTTCTCAAAAATTACACATCTCTGAAATCCAATCCTTTATATCTGGAGTTATAGTATTTTTCCATCTCCTAAAACATTTGGTTTTTCCCAATAATTCTGTCAACATATTGTACAACATTACTCCAAAAGGGAGTTAAAAGTGCCTTCAAATTTCTTGAAACGCCAACATAAATAATCATTAGTGATAAGTGTGTTATATATCATTCAGGGTTTATTCTTATTTGTTAGCCTCTGCTTTTATTATATCTAAGGTGAATTTTAGTACCTTTTCATCTGACAGAGGTTGTTCAAGGACAAGAAATTAAAGAAAGTCACTTCTAAGCTATTCTAGAGAATGTTTTGATTTCTGTTTGCTTCCATTACTAGCAGAGTTGCCTTGTGTCACTGCACTTGCTTCCACCCACTGTATTAGTTGTAAGTATCTCTTGAAGGATGTTATCAAATACTTCCTGTCTTCTTAGGCATCAGTTAACACTGACAATATGGATTTCACAGAAGCATCTGAGAAGAACAGCAGCCCTATAAATCATCTTGACAGTATCTGAGAATGATTTAAGACAGTAGGATTAACTTGATAGGCTAGGAAAACACAAGTGTGCAACCTCTTTGCCCAAAGCGCATTATTTTTTTGCTGTTTCCATAGATACTGAGATAAAGATATTTTCTTTTGCATAGAAAAGAGTAAGATCATGGATTCTGATGTTTTGAGAATTAATTTTTTAAAAGGCAATTAATCTAAGCCAAATGTTCCTTTTTATGCTGGTGATTGAAGCACACATGCCTGATGCAGACACAACAGTTTTAGCTCTGAAATTTATTCTCTGATCAGTTTCTAAGTTCTAGACAGGTGTATACTAGCCTCTGTATTTTCCTAAACAGCCTTTGAACTCTTATATCCCTTTCATCCTCTGTAACCTAAGCACACTCAAATAGTGGTGCACGTTTTCCACCAACAGCCCAGTCGCAAGTGTGAAATCCATTCTTACATTCATTATAGCTTTAATTTTTAATTTAAACGAAGTTCTTTTTTGAAGGCATGAACCATCCTTTATAAGAATGCAATAATATACAGGAATATTCACAGTGTTGTCTGTTTTTCAGTGCATTGCTGCACTATTGTTTTGTTTTGTTTTTGTTTTAATTGTGAAGTAGCTTTTAGAGGGAGTTTATTAGAAGTTTCTTAAAAGAAAAAGAACAATGATGGTCTGGGACTGCTTAACTTCCACTGGGTATCTGATTGCCCAGTTAATCTCTCTTAGCACATTCTGATTGATCTTCTGTTAGAGCAGCTGAAAGTCTCTTTTAAGCATGGCAAACTTTTATAACTACCCAACTGGAATAAGTGCCAGGCTATTCTAAGAGATAATCCACTCTCCAAACAAGAGAAGTATTTTATGTTGTCAGACAGGGTTATTGTTTGAGTATGTAATTTGTTCATATGGTAGAACTCATAACATTTCTTTTAAGTGAGGCAGCAGACTAGTTTTATAGATTCACCCTTAACTGGAATGATGTTCTGTCTGTAGTTACTCACTAAATTTGTACTATTAGCCCAATTGTTAAAAGCAAATATTTTGGCTATCTTTGCTCTAATTTTTTGGTAGAGCTCTATGATATCTGAAAGTAGAGCATTCTGACTCCAGAAATGTGGCTCATACAGTTGTATTATCTTTAGCCTTTTATCTGTTCTTGCACAATCCATGACTAATGTTAGGTATGTTTTACTTAACCAAGTTTGCAAATCTTAGTTATGACACAGCTGTAGATAGTATCTAGCTAATACCAGTGTAGATATAATCATTCATTACAGTTAAATGAGATTGGGAGAGTGGGCATGCTTTGGGTCCCATTGATCCAGCAGTGTCATATAGTGGGACCCAGGAAATGTGCCTTATCTATGATGGTGCGTGCCCTCTGGAATGAGATCCCTAAGAGATCTTCAACCTTGTTACTTCCAAAGGTGTTTGACAATGCATCTGGAAAGCAACAGGTTTGATAAGACTGATGTAGAATATACCCTTTGGGGTATATTCTGATATCAGGGAACCATATCAACCTATCTATTTTAAAAGAATCAAGCAGGCCAAGCATTTCATCATTCCACAATCAGAGCTATAATGCAAATATTTCTACCACCAGACAATAAGAGAATAACATTCTCATTCAGCCAGTGCAGAATATGGCAGAGCGGGTAGTTAATGGCTTCTGTTATTCAGTGCATGTGACACCACTGCTCCACAACCTACATTGCTTCCCAGTATGCTTCCAGGTGCAATTCAAGATGCTGGTAATTACCTTTAAAGCCCTTCGTGGCTTGGGGCCAGGTTACTTACGGGACCCTCTCTCCCCAGTTGTTTCTACCTGCCCGATCTGTATGGCAGGAGGGGCATCAGGTCCCATCTGTTGGGGAGTGTCATTTGGTGGGACCCAAGAGGAGAGCATTTTCTGTCATGGCAGCTGTCCTCTGGAATATCATCCCTCCGGAAATCAGATTGGCTCCGACCCTACTGGCCTTTTGCAAGGCTTTGAAGACTTGGTTCTGTGCTCGAGCCAGGGCCCCTGGGTGTGTGATGGAGCCCATTTTTTGGTTGTACTGGCGCTATTATGTTTTTGTAATTTTCTCTTGGCTGCTATGTGCTTTATGTTTCTGAGATGGGCAGCCTTATAAATCTAATAAAAATAAAAATAAAATATAACATTTTTTGTTATTGCAGTTAGGGAGTCCAGGATCATTACAGAAATCAGCTATTACATTCAGCTTGAATATATATTTCACATAAATTTCTAAAATTTTCTTTTTATCTGTCTGGGCTTTATATAGCAAAGACGACTATCAATTTTGTACACAGTGACTGTGATAACTAGCTGTGTGTGGGGTCAAGGTACTGACATCAGAGGCATTTCTGAACAAAGATGTTGCAGTTGGTGGGTGGATGGCACTACTGTCAGCTGTTGCATGACCTCGCATAAATAGTATCATCACAACTTTAATCTTTCGGGTGTTCAGAGGTAGTGTGCATATTTCTGTTTAACCCCTGGACGCTTGCCGGCATTCATGACCCTTTAACAATTCCTATTCCTCTGCCTGTCCATGGCACCTTGGCTCCAAATAGTCTAGGAATAAAGCCAATAGTTATATACTTCCCTTGTGTGTACATCTATTGTGAGAAATATAAAACATGCTATCTTTTGCATAATATATGGAGGAGCTAGATATTATGAAATAATCATTTACCAATTTGGTACTTGAAAATTTACCTTAAGCATTAAGCTTTAAATAATTTGGAGGAAGAGGTACCTGCGCATTATTCATATATTCTGGAAATCTACATACTTTGTATTTGGCAGTTTTATACATATGTTTTTCAGTGTCAACTAAACTCACAAGCACAGATCTCTTCTACTATTCTGTAGAAGAGTTTAGTGACATATATGGGTGGTGGTGTCTTTGTATTTAGCCATCATTCTAGACAAGCCTTATTAACTTTCAGAGTGAATGCCTTTACTCTTGGGGAACCATAGCTCTAATACTACTAACTTAACCACACAGGTTTTAAAATTTCATTAGGAAGGCATTGATTATAAGAATTTGTTAGCCAAATAGCAGAATTTGACTGACCCAGCATGTGGCTCTCACATATAAATATGTTTATAGCAATGACTGAAATGCTCCATAAAGTCTGTGTATCTAATCCACTCCTTTAGAAATAAGAGTCAATGAGGGAACCACAGTTTTCTCATAAAATGGACATTTCTAGCTATAGTGCTCTGTTTAAACTGATCTCTCCCTGCCAATATTAACTCACCTTCAAAAATTAGTTCCAGTCCTATTTTGAACTCCCTTGGTGGGGGCGGGGGGGGGGCGGACAAAGAGCTTTTGGGGAACAACAAGGGAGTGGGCACCTAGATATGACTGTTTAGACCATTACTGTTTTTATGAGTTTTACTCTATTTTATTGCTATTTTATTATGTTCTATGTCTTTTTTTAATGTTTGGGGGTTGTAATCATGGCACCATGCAGAATTGCCAAGTAAATAAATTAATGTTCCTGCTTCTGAATTAGTAAGCATTCTCTGAAGGGTCTATTATACACAAAATAGTTTCTCCATATTCTTTAACAACCATGGAGTTCAAAAACAGCAATGCAATGACATCAATCCTAAATAGTCCAAATAACAAGTGTTTTTGTTGTATAAATCCAAATCTGAGACTGGAAGTTGCATTTTAGCATTTTTTAAAAAATGAGTAAAATATCTGATATGATATAGTAAAGATTTTGTACACCAAGTTATTCAGTTAATAAATCTTTTCTCATCAAATTTTCTCAGCAAACTCTGGCCTGTTCCATATTAACTGCATTGCTAAGTGAGTTCTCAAGTTCAAGTAAAACCAGCAACATTGGACTAAGCATGGAGTTCCACGGCAATTGCAAACTAATATTTCAGGTAAATAAAGTATGTGTTTCTATGTTTCTAAGAACAACATGAATGGGAAAGATCCATTATACCTGCAGACCTATGCAAGAAAATAATGTAGTATCTATATGCAGAATGAATTAGGCAGCCTGGCCTTTCTAAACTGCAGTTTATGTGATACTTTTTTCTGTTCCTTCTCTCTCATATATCTCCACAGTTACTCAAATGTAAGTAATGACAGTTGAACTACGATGCATATCATAGGTCAGGACAGGTTGCAAATACTATCAAAGAAGTTACTAGAAATAAAAATGGAAAGCAATCCAGAGAGTAGAATTCCTCCCCAAATGATAGGAGCTTAGAGGAACACAACTTTGAATAAAATAAGTGCAAGCAGACCAAAAAAAAACCCCCAAAACATTTGAGCAGCCATATCACTAATGAAGTTTTAAAAAATCTAGCAATTAAAAAAAACAAAACATCTTTATGCTCCTTGGAAGCAAAAGGTAGCTAGAAAGGAGTTAAAGTTGTACACATTATTGGCTGAAACCAGATAACTAGGTCCAGATGCTGTCTATCCAAGTGTTTTTGAAGAACTAACATGTGAAATTGCTGATCTTCTAGGAAAAATATGTAGCATTATTCTACTTGTATTAGAGAACTGGAAAGGAATACAGGAATTATCAAGGAAGATGTGGGCCAGAAATTTAACATCTGTTCTGGGTAAATGGTAGAAAGCATGATTAAAGATAAAATTATCTGTCATATCAAAAATAAGCTAAATAAAAAAGTAAACAATTCTCTTTCAAAAGTAAATCCTAAATCCTGTCACATTAACTATTTCCTAGTATATTTATTAATCAAGGAGACATTGGTGGATTTTTCAAAAGGCTTTTGTTAAAAGTTTCTAAAAATTCCTGGACAAACTTAATGTCATAGGAGAAGATAAAATATTAACAAACACTGAAACTGGTTCAATGTAAAGGGATGCACATTGAGGGAAAAATTTAACTGCCCATTTACACTACTGAGCATGATAGTGATCAAGGGACTGTAATGTCAGTCTTACATTGTTTGGAACTCTTCAGGAAAAAAGTGAGTAAATGTGCTTCAATTTGAAGAAGTATAAAGCAATGCATACTGGGTGAGGACCCATAACTTTACACATGCACTGATGAAGCCAGATGTGTATTACTAATCAGGAAAAAAACAAACTTGAAGATGTTAATGACAATATCAATTCAGTGTGCAGCAGCTGTGAAAAAATTATCAAGTGACTTGAACACCTTCCTTATGGGAAAAAAGGCTAGAATATTAGTTTGGAAAAAGATAACTGAAGGGGAGCATGGTCAAGCTGTGTAAAATGCATGGCCTAGAGGAAGTGGATAGGGAGACATTTTTCTGCATTTCTCAAAACACTAGGACTAGTTAACTGGTTGGAAGGAGATTTAGGACAGAGACACGGTGTATAATTAACCTGTGAAATTCATTACCATGCTGTGTGGTGATGGCAACTAATTTATATTGCTTTAGAAGGGGACTAGATAAATTCATGAAGGACATTTATACTGAGGGCTATTAGTGTTATTTCCTGGTTGAGTGCACTTATGTCTTCAGATACCAATGGTAAGGGAGCAATAGTGGTTTTTTATATAAATATCTAAATTTATACAAATAGTGTTGTTTCTCCAACTCCTACTTGTGAGCATCCCAAAGGCAACTGGTTGGCCACCATGAGAAACAAATGCTGGATTGAAATGGGTTTCATAGCCATCATGGCTATAATTATATTCTTATGACAAATTAGGTAAGAGAACCTCTTCTCATCAGTAAAGCTGAATGGTGAGTGATTCAGGACAGAAAAAAAGGAAGTGCTTCATACTCAGAGGCAGAGGCATATCAGAGGTAGCGTGTATCGTAATGCCATATGAGCAGATGATGGAATTACACTCCTTTTCCTCTTCGTGGGTTTCCTATAGGCTTGTAAGGTATAGCAGACTGGGCTAGATGGTTTTTTGATCTGATTCATATACTTGATCAAACTAAACTTGTCAGTTGAAAAAGAACTGAGTGTTAGTTTAGTAGCAAGCACGTGATCTCTGGGAAAAAGATTCAGTCCGTGAGGTACACAGTTAGACTGGTCCGAGTAATGTAATTCAAATGTTTTACTTGATTTGTCTACTGATTTATATTATGCCAAATTGAAAAATTATTAAAACATCTGGTTTTTGTTGTACACAGGAGGATGACCTCCGTCAGATCTTCATGCTCACAGTAGAGGTACTACAGGAATTCAGCCGGCGTGAAAATCTTAATGCTCAGATGTCTTCAGTCTTTCAGCGTTACCTTGCACTAGCCAATCAGGTCTTAAGCTGGAATTTTCTTCCTCCAAATTATATCCTTTTGATCGTTTGTCAAAATTCAGTGAAAGTATAGCCTCAGCTTCAGTAGTGAATCCTGTAAAGCAGGAGCAATATATCTTAAATCTAAAGTAGATTAAAAACCTAGAATCCTGGAAGGGTAACGGAAAGTAGATATAATGATTGTTCCAAAGTAGAATGACCAAATCTTGGGTATATAGTCATATACTTCTTTATTCTTTCCTCAGCCAGGAAAAAAAATCTAATCTATTTAAAAAATGTTGCTTACATGAAAAAGCTAGATATGGTGTGTGTGATAAAAATTGATGAATTTAATAACAGGATAATATGAACATAGAGCATGATGATGATGATGATGATGATGAAAGTTATTCTCTAAACTGGGTCCTTTTATACTACGTAAAAGTGGAAACCACATGCCCCATAGTTTAAACTTCTGAAACAGCCCATTGCTAAATGTCTGAGGAGGCATTAAAAGGCAGGCAGGCAGGCAGAAAAAATGGAACAGAAATGGTAACTTCTGGTAAATAGCTTATATTACAAACTGAGAGAGGGGATAATTTAAAACCTCCCTCACTGAGCCCCTTTTCCAAGGGTTCTCCAATAAAGAACTCTTAGCATTAGGCTGCTACCAGTCAGGCTGAACTTCTTGAAACCCCTAGTCAGTCCATCTGGGGACTTCTTGGCCACTCTGCCAAAAAGTTTTTCTTCTGCCCAGCCCTAGGAATAGATAGACCTAGTGTTTGGATAATCCTGTGCAAAGCTCAGAAATGCCGAACTTAATAATTCTTTAGCCAATCCTAAAGCATAAGGGGCAGCTATATAATTATTCAGCCCTGCATATGATGATAGCCTTAATGAGAAATTCCCTTATTATATCAAAGGTAGACCTTTATAAAGTTATAAAAAGGTGCTTATTGGGAAAAGGGAATATAGCATATAGGAAAAAGCAAACAAAAAAGGGAAGACATATACAGAATTGTGAAGAAGATCAACACGGTTGGTCTAGCCTGATCAGATACTTGCTACCTTCTTGAATAAGAACTTGACTTCCAGCATATGTTCATGGTTCATTGCAAGGGATGTAATTAGAGGTAGCATCTACATCTCCTGATAGAACATTTATAAGGCAGGTCCTCCTTGCTGTGCTGGTGCTCCTCTTCTCCGTGTAGCTGCCTCTCTCTTTTTTAACACCACCCTCAGTTTTATAGAACATAGAGGATAAGTGAAACCCACCCTCTCTGGGAAGACTATTTTGTCCAGGAAAGCAGAATGCTCAACCTTGGGTGTTCTGTATTTAGAGAGCAAATCAGAAATTATTTAGGAGTTAAAGCAGTCTTCTTAGTAGTCATTGATAGAATTCTAAAGATGCAGTTTATTTTTCCCAAGTTATGACATTATAAAAATAGGATTACATGGCTTTTTAAGGGAAACAAATGCTGAATTGTTTTCATTTAGGCTTTTAATTGTGGGTCCAACTTATCAGACACTTTAGGGGGCACTGTTGTGCCATATCAAAAATCTAGAGATTTGTCTTCCAGCTTTATGCCACCAAAATAATTTGAGAGCTGGAATAGCTCCCTAATGCAGAAAGACTACAGCATTTGGGGCTGTTTAGAACAAAGGAGAGAGAAAAGGGAAAAATAATAGGGGTATATACAATCAAGCTTTGTGTAGATATCAGATTCAAGATGGACAGAACAAAATGCTTTTTCACAAAGTACATAATTAAAGTGTGGAATCTGCTGCCAGCAATTGTAATGGCAGTTAGTTTGGATGGTTTTAAAAAGGGACAAGACAGGTTCATGAAGGATCGGCAGCATATCTTATATGCTGGTTAATGGGAAACAATAATGCAAAAGACTTGCCCTCCAGTTCAGGCTTCGTTTTATTGTTTGTTAGATTTATATACCACCTTTCCTCCAGGAACTCAAGGTACCATACATAGTACTCCATTCTTCTTTTTTTCCCCACAGCAACAATCCTATTAGTTTGCTTGGGCTGAGAGAGAGAGTGGTAGCCCAAAGTCACCCAGTGGGCTTCCATGGCTGAAGGTGGACTTGGACCCCATGTCTTCTCAGACCTAGTCTAATACTTTAACCACTACACTGCAGTTTGGGTGAGCTTCTCAAATAATCCCTGTCACAGAATGCTGGATTAGATGGGCCTTTGACCTGATTCAGCAGGGCACTTCTTATCTTCAAATTCTTTAACAAGTTTTCATTTATAACTCTCCTAATTCCTGATTCTTTTTCTTTTCCAGAAATCAGGGAATCAAAAGGGAATTTGACGTGTATCAATTTAGGCAAGCCTTAATGCTTTGTTGTTGTTGTTTAGTTGTTAAGTCGTGTCCGACTCTTCGTGACCCCATGAACCATA